TGGTAAAAGAGTAACCCAAGAGTTAGCGGTGGGTGATGATGACTAGCTCCCTTCCCCCTAGTCTTACGCTGCTAAATTAGGGACGACTAACGCAGATAGCCCTCGTGTGGCTTTGCGCGAAATTCAAAAACAAACAAATAAGCATTCTAATGTTAAATATTTCAAATATCATATGGTATAATTTTTTCATTACTGTTTATTACGATAAAACATTATTTAATGTTGGTAGAAATCGTATGTGTCAAGAATATGAACATTTTTCTTGGGTATTTTATCGAAATCTTTCATCATTATTTATATTCTGACTAACTTGTTTTCATTTGACAACTGCTGTAATTTTAACTACGACTATGTTCAATACATTAAATAATGATGTATTTTTTAATTGAGCTAGGTATAGCCTAGTGGTTAGGGCCTTCGACTCGCAATCTGAGGATCGCGGTTCGAATCCCTGTCACCAAACATCCTCCTCCTTTCAGCCGTGGAAGCGTTATAACTTGACGGTCAATCCCACTATGCGTTGGTAAAAATGTAGCCTTGGAGGTGGGTGGTGTTAATTAGCGGCCTTCCTTCTATTATCTCACTGTTAAACCAAACAAAGTATTTCAAAATCTCTCAGAAATGTTTTCCTTCGTACCGTAAACACAACATTTTTTACAATCATGGCTAATATACATCTCTTTTTGTCAGAAAAAAATGGAAGCTAACGTCAAATACAAAAGACTAAGTAGTATAAAAACGGAGAAAATAACTAATGGAAATAAACAAAAACTAATTAATTATCTGTAATTTTATTTTGTAATTAACAATGTCCTCAAGTACTGTACTGCGGTTAAGTGAAAGCACATTTTGGTTCATTTTATAATTTAATCCGGCAGTGTAAGTAAGATATTTTCATTATTTGTACTTGGCATGGCCAGTATGCAGTTTGGCATAACCATCAGATAGAGTACAATACAATCAATAATTGCAGTCTATGACCGCATCAAACAATGGAGGCTACTGGATATAGCCTTCAGTGACCAACAGATTCCTTTCGGTCGTGATCACGACCAAAGTGTTAGTTACCTTTTCAATTGTTATCTTTCTAATCTCGTGAAAAAGTGTATGATTATACTGTCGAAACTGTTCAATAAAATGCATCAGAATACACAATTCCATGGACCAGCCCGCAGAAGGTTATTGGGTAAAAATATATAGAAGACCGTGATGCAAATTTAGTTTTCAAGACTGTGTGAAGATGACCTTTGTTTCTCCTTACTTTTTAACTTTAGATGTTCACCAACTTTTGCCAGCGATCACGTTTCTGAAGTTGGACTATATAACATTTGGTACAGCAAATGATACTCTGTTATTTGCAAAAATCCAGTAGATGTATCTATCCAGCAAATATTATAACTATGGGCGGAGTTCTCTTCGAATTCTAATCCACCAGCTTCAGCATGTGGACTACGAGGGCAGTATCTAAAACAAGATTTCTCAGAAATTCTTATCACGACAGAAATTACAATTTTTTACAGGCCTACATGGCGCAGCAGACGTTATAGATGACAACTGGTGACTTGGACTGAGTGCGTTGATGTAATATGTGTAACTCTGTTGAATTTGAAAACAATTGCGAAGTTTTATTTCTGTTGGATAAATGCAGTACTGTAGCGATATTTATCGTACTTATTTTTTGATAAATACAGTTATAAGTTGTAGAAATCCAGTTGTAGGAACTTCGCCCATCCCATACTACTTAGTGTTTTATGATGATTTTTGCTTTAATTTATAGTTTTAAAGTTTTATTTTTGAATTAATTTTGCTTGTTTGCTTGTAATTAAGCACAAAGCTACACAATGGGCTATTTGTGCTCTGCCCACTACGGGTATCGAAACCCGGATTCTAGCGTTGTAAGTCTGCAGACATACCGCAGTGCCACTGGGGGCCGAATTAATTTTCCTCTTAAGGTTAGCTTCCTGCAATGTATAATTGAATTGAGCATTGATCCTTTCACGTGAAGTCACTGGAAGTTATAATGTGGTTATTTTTTAAGACATACTGTAGTCAAAGAGTTTTCAAGTTGTAGCCTGTCTTATGTGAAAATGGCAATGTGTGTGTTGCATGGAATTTTAACAAAAGGCCAAAAACTGAACCCTTGTCATTCCACTAGTAAGTCCCATTTCACAACATAGGGTAAATATTGTTATGTATCTGATTGTTTGTTAATGTCTGGTAGAAATTCTTTCCGAGGAACTTCTGCGATACAAGTCCTTTCTTGGTTAAACCAGTTTATTCTTTCTCGATACAAATTTGTAGTACACAGTAATTCCACAGTCAGTACGTTTCTCGTCACTTTTAACTTAACAACTTTTATAATACACGTGCAATGTGTGTGTTGCATGGAATTTTAACAACAGGCCAAAAACATAACTTCGCTCTCTACGAGTACAAAACACACACTTTATTATTTCCCGTTGGCTTTCTCTGCCAGGCTTATATACGAAAGAAGATGGCATCTTGAACAAACTCGGTCTTCCCCAATAACTCGAGAAACTTCACGCACGCTACCAGTGCCACGTGACTTCTGCTGTCGTAACACTGCCCCTTCCTTAGTATTGTTCGTTCCGAACAATAGCCAGTTACAATAAACCAATAAATAATTAACAATAACTTGATTAAATGTACAGGTTTTAAAAACACAAAATTAAAATTCAACAAAGTCTCTTAATTTTACAGGACGTTTCTTCTTTCATACTGGTCTCCATCTCATTGGCTTCTACTTCACGTGGGATTCATATGCTACATCAGAAAATGTCCCATTATCGGTAGCAGTCACATTAGTGGTAGTAACTTCATTAACAGCTTCACTGTTTTCCCTTTCAAAACCGGGTAGAGTTTCTTCTTCAACAGTGGCTTTTTCAGGTGACACGTCTTCAGCAAGACATCCCAGTCATCTTGGAGGCTATTACAAAACTTTGCCAATTCTTGTCCCAGTGTCCAATTCTACTTTTCTACCATCCCATCAGACTGAGTGTGAAGTGGCATTGTCCTGGTCTTTCGTATGCCAAACATTTACAGCATTCATGGAACACAGCTCATTCAAAGTTACGGCCTTGATCTGAATGCAGTTCATATGGCATACCAAACCTGAAGAAGAAATCACTAATAGCCGAAGCTGTTGTTGTAGCTTCCTGATTTAGTATTGCATATGCCTCAGGCCACTTGATGAAATAATCCATTACCACACAAATGTACCTGTTTCCAGCACGCGTTTGGGGCAAAGGACCAGCAATGTCAATAGCTACTCTTTCCATTGGTGTGCCAACTTGATGTAATTTATGCTTGGGTCCCCCTTTTAGCACAACATGTATTGCATGTCCTGTACCATTCTTCCACATCTTGCCTCATACCTATCCAGTAAAATCTCTGTTGTAGGTGACTCAATGTCTTCTTAACTCCGAGATGTCCCCCTGTTAAACTATCATGGGATTGATGCAGCACAAATTCCCGTAACTTTCTCGGTATAACTGTTTGCCAGGTCGTCACTTTCTCATCTGTAGTTTCCCATCTCCGGAGAAGAATACCATCTTCAAGCTTCAACTGGTCCCATTGTGCCCAATAGTTCTTTGTCACAGGGTTTAAGCTAGACACCTTCTCCCAAGCAGAGC